AATAACCTACGTTGCAGCTTCAGATCCCTAACCCCCCCCAACAACTTGGTCAAGTAGCATATCATCAAGGTAGTCCCTGAACCCACAGTGGATGGCAGCAGATCTTAGGGCTGCCATATATTGGCTTACGGTTTCTCCCTCAGCTTGAACCCTTCTCCTAAAGGCTAGCCTCCTAGCTATCTGAGAGGGTTTGGGGGAATAATGGTTGGCTAAAATATCCTTCAGCTCTTCCCAGGGAATAGACTTAATGGGTCGTGGTGACACTAATGCTGAGGCAGTGTCGAAAACTGTAGCCCCACAAAAACTTAAAAAATAAGACCTTTTCCTGAGGTCTGTAGCCCTAGACAAGTCTATAGCATTTAAAAAACATTCGAATCTGTTAATGTAGGATTCCCAAGTTTCTGTTCCGGGCTGGAAATGTGGGAAGGTCGGCGTAGATGCCATTTGAACGATAACAGTGGGTGTGCTAGGTGAGGAAAAATTCAGCGGTCGCTTTTAAAAAAGCGTTTCAGCAGCGTCTGTCAGCGGCGTTCGGCTCCTCAGCTGCGGAGCTTTGAAGTTCGCGCTTTTTTGTAGAGCGCCGGCGGCGGTGACTTCACTCGGCACTTAGCGGCTTCAGCTCTTTCTCTGTGTGACTTCGGCTCAATTGTTTCGCCTGGATGTCTTTACTGCATCCCGCCCTCGTCGCCAGTGTTGTAGAGCGGCAGTTACAGAAGGGAGACGGAGCCAGGATAACGCTAACAACTTTATTCAGGGAATAAAGGGTCGCCGCGGCTTCAGATGCAATCTGACAGCCAGCTGGCGGCGACAGCTGATGCCGTTTGACAGTTCCCTTTTATAGCCGGCTGTCAAACGGCATCAGCCAATGGGAGCGTTCGGCGCTCCCGCTCAGGCGGCGGACCAGAAGGAGAACTGCTGTCAAGTGCTAAATACATAACAATTTTCATTTCAGCCGAGCTACAAATATCCTTCTTTATTAATATAATTTTTGCTTGCACTATTCCCATTCTTCTGCTCACTCTTCTGCTCACAACAGAATACCTTATACCACCAGATTTGAAATTTTGGGCTTACACAACTTAGAACTACACTGCCTTTGGTCTGACCTAAGCATAGTACATTAAATTATCTGCTATGATGTCCTGCCTGTCAATGACTACTTCAGCTTCAACCACAACAATACACTAGCACACAGTAGATACATACTTAAGATTAACCGCTCCAAACTCGATTGCAGAAAATACGACCTAAGCAACAGAGTTGTCAGTGTTTGGAATGCATTACCTGGCTCTGTGGTCTCTTCCCAAAACCCTCAAAACTTTAACCTTAGACTGTCCTCACCCCATTCCTAAGAGGTCTGTAAAGGGCATGCATAAGAGCACCAATGTGCCCACCGTCCCTGTCCTAATGTCCCCTTTTATTCGTACCCATTTCATGTACTCATAATCATGTTTCTAATGATATCTGTTATCTAAAACATGCTTAACAAAACAAACAAATAAATATAAATAAATAAAATGTGGAGTTTGGAGAGCCAGTTTGGTGTAATGGTTAAGGTGCTGGCCTAGAAACCAGGACACTGTGAGTTCTAGTTCTGCCTTAGGCATGAAAACTAGTTTGGGGACTTTAAGCCAGTCACTCTCATCTCAGTTCATTTCACAGGGAAAATAAGAGGAGGAAGGAGTGTTACATATGTTTGCTGCCTTGAGTTATTTATAAAGTAATAAAGGCAAGATAACAGTTTAATAAATAGTAGAGTTGTAAGAATAAATATGGGTGCTCTTTTTAAGGTAAAAAAACATATAACATATGTCGCAATGTAAAGATTATGTATTCTACATTCTGACAGTGGGGTTAATAAAATAACTTTTAGAATTTTTCTTGGTTTATGGCCAACATTACAAGTGAAACAAGTACTTAATTTGCAATTACTGCCCAAGCAAACAGTATTGAGGATAATACAAGTCCTTTACCCATTACTTCTGAGCCTTCCACATTTAAAAAATGATATAAACATATTCTAATTTGATTGTGTCATGTTTGTTCCTATTTCTTCTAAAATATTTCAACAACAAGTTCTACTTTCTTAGTAATTGGCAGCTCCCATTTTTGCTTTCCATGGTGTATTATTTTAGGGCAAGGCAGATTACTCAAATGTCACATATGTGGCAATGTGAAAAAGAGCTTGTTCTATTTTAGAACAAGCAAAGCACCACTCTAGATAGCTAAAGGAAAGGTTAAGACTAGATAATATGGCTATACTACTTTTTAATCCCAACTTACATTGGGGTGAAATCAAATCTTAAAGTAATCTTCTTCTTTGCCTGATTTGGATTTGATTTGATTTCCAAAGATGATTATCTCACCTGGGGAAATTAAAGGCACTTCATGCTCTCTTACTACTCAATAGTGAAGCTCAAGGGAAAGACTGTGTATAAATATGAAGCTTCTAATCAAATTTGTTTCAGAATTCCTATGGAATGGGCACTGGAATCAATTTGAAATGTAGGAATAGGATGCTGAATAGGATAGTCATAACTTGTCTTTTACAGAGGTCAGTCCTGGAATTAGAGCTATGTAGAACAAGTTTGGTTTAATTGTAAAGGATTTTGTATTCTCCAGTCAACAGTTTCCCTGATAATAAGACCCGATCAGAAAATAAGCCCTAGCATAATTTTTTAGGATGCTCATAATATAAGCCCTACCCCAAAAATAAACCCCATTTAAGATTGTTAGCCAGACGGATACATTTAGTACCGTATTTGCCTGAAAATAAGACCTAACCAAAAAATAAGCCTTAATGTGTTTTTTGGAGCAAAAAATAATATAAGGCCCAGTCTTATTTTCAGGAAAACATGGATAACAAATTAAGCAAGTATACTAGCATTTTCCAATATTTAGTGAGATATAATATATTTTAATTTAATTTATGGTAATTATTTCTCAATATCTATCTCTTTATCTATCTCTCTATCATCTCTCTACCTGTCTGTCTGTCTATCTTAGCCTTAACCTGTGAAGACTTTATAGTTAATTTCTCTCATCTCTTTTGATACTGTGAAGACAAGACAGAATGCAGACAAAGTTTTCTTGCCAAGATTTCTATAGATTCCTCTCCTTACCCAAGTTGGAGGACATGGAATCATGTTGAATGGGGAAAAAATGGAAGGAAGGAAAGACAGAGGGTTATTCCAGTTGACTGGTAATTTAACTTATATCCTTATTCTCTACTTTAGGGGGCAATTTTGACATCCCACACAGGGATCAGGCCATTGGAACATATAATTTTCTTGTTAGCCTCCTGTAACTCAGGAGCTTGAGTACATACCAAGAATTTTGGATCAATATAAACATGGAGAGCAGTCAGAGACTAATTATCCCCCATCCATAGTTGACATCTCCACATATTTTAAAGGAATGGCAACATACCAAAATAACATATATCTTTCAGCCCTTCAGGATAACCTAGGTCAGGAAAAAGGCACTACATAAAATACAGGGGACACTATTTTACTGATATAGGCTATAATAATAGAATCTTGAAGTCCTGTCAGTATTTCTTCTTCTCTACCTCTCATATCAAAGAGAATCGAGGCAAAGCAGTCTTGACTTTCTTTCTCATACTTCTTGTTTTCCTGGGCTAAGTTAATGTTTTCCTAATAGTTTCTGCAGGAGATGAAGCAAGAGAACTAATTATCAATTTCTGTGTGTAATGACTTCTTAATTAATACTTCTTCACACAACGAAACAATGCCTGTATATGGACTATCATTAAAAGAAGATATAGCAACTCAGTTATAGCATTAAAAATATGGTCAGATACTGACTGTGGACCACAAACTACTCATGTGCAAGTGCCAACCTAAGGAAGTTGGCTAAAACATATGGAAAACTATTGTAGGGATTGGGTTTAGTCTAGTGTAAAGAAAGACTAGGGGTGACATGATAGCAGTGTTCCAATATTTGAGGGACTGCCAGAAAGAAGAATGGGTCAACCTATTCTCCAAAGCATCTGAAGGCAGGACAAATAGCAATGGGTGTAAACTAATCAAGGAGAGAACCAACCTAGAATTAAGGAAAATCTTTCTAACAATGAGAACAATTAACCAGTGGAATGGCTTGTCTTCAGAAGTTGTGGAAGCTCCATCCATTGAGGTGTTTAAGAAGAGACTGGAGAGCCATTTGTCTGAAATGGTATAGGCCAGGGTCTCCTGCTTGAATGGAGGGTTGGACTGGAGTGACTCCAGTGTCCCTTCCAACTCTATTATTCTCTTCTGCTATTTTGTTGTTCTTTCTCTGATCACATTTTGTTGCTGTGAAAAAGAAAAGTAGATGGATTCAGTTACAATGGCAATGGGTGTATTTTTGAAAGATCTGTAGGACCAGGTTAGGGAGAAATTGTGATAGAGAAAAATATGAGGTCACTAGAAGCTGACCCTGACTTGATGGCATTTAATCAATCAGTTTTCTTTAAAGCCATCTCTGTACTTCTCTATAAAGTCTCATATAAACATGGTTTGGAATAAATGTCGAGCAAATAATAAGAGTTCAGCTGTGATCTGATCAAAGGTTACATAATCCAACATCTTGTTTCCACAAAGACCTACCAGAATTTGATGGGAGGCTTGAGGGCTGAAGCATTCTCTTAATTGCATTCCTTAGAAATTTGTAATAAGAGACTTATTGTTTCTCTTATGTAGCTGTATTACATAGACATAATTAATACTTGTCATTGCTTATCTTTCTTTACATGAATCTGTTTCTGATCTTTTAAAATCATTCAATATTATAATCATCACTGCATCCTGTTGCAAGTTTAACTGCAGTTTAACTTTGTATGATGAAATGCAGTTTATTTTATTTGCTCTGAATGTGGAGGTTCTCAAATTAGCAGTGAACATTTGTTAAATTAGAAAAAGAAATCTGGGATTGTACCAGATTTTATGTGAATTTACATATTAATTCTTCCAGGTTGATGGAATTTATTTTTCCACTTAAAGGTGTAATATCTGTATATCTCAAGAAGGACAACATGGGAGATCTGAATCTTGTAGCCTGTCCACACACAGATAATCACAATTCCTTGGATAACACCCCAAAGGAGTGTTCAATGACAATATGGCAGAAACTCAATCAAGCAAAAACTAGCAAGAATGATCACACATTTGTCAAATGGAATCACAACCCATTCACAAATGTCACTGAAAGCAGGTAAGCAGTACAAAAAGCCAGCAATGCAATACAAAAGAAGAAAGCTTAATTTTCTGGTTTCCATCCAGTAAATTACTAACACAAATCCCACATTTATGTATGGGCCTTGCCCCACAAATGAGTTCTAGGATTATCCAATTATTTTGACTTGCCAGAAAACTGTACTAGCATGAATATTTTTAAATGATCAGTTAGATTTATATTGTACCTAATCCTCCATTGCCAATCACACTCCTGCTTGCATTGCTTCTATTTCCAGCCCAGATACTGTACTTGATTTCCATCTAAGTCTTCTAAGATAATAGATGACAAAGTCGAACAGATTTTACACACCTTGAGGCTGCCCTTGGACAGAATAAGCTGCTTAACTTCACCAATATAGTAATTGAGGCAGATGGTCTATCTAATCTTCTTTTATTGGCAAGAGGGAGGGAAGAGACATGTTAAGCTCACAAACATTTTTCTTTTAGATAAAAGTGGACTAAGTCTGAATTATTTGCACAATTTGGGGGATTTATTCTCAATTAAAATGTTGGTTGGTTGTGCTGTTCTTAAACTATAAAATAAAGTTTCCCTATATTCGTTAATCAGAAAACTGCTTGCTGGTCATGACTAACTGATAACTGTGTGCATTACATATATGTAAATAGTGCTACAATTATTAACACCGGGTAGGTTACAATCCTGAGCATTCTGTCTCATAATGAAGATTGCAGTTTAGTGCCCACATTTTTAAGAATAAGTCAGACTGAACTCAGTAAGGCTTACTTCTAAACAATGTACCAAATGGCTCTGTCAGACTGCAGTCTGAATTGTGGACTTGCATAATCTTACTTCTGGCTTCATGGGTTTAATACTAGGTCTAAAATCCTGCTGACATTACAAGGATGTAGAAATATGTATATATGCTGAGATGTATAGTGGTTAATTTTTTCCTTCCAGACAATAAGCTAATCAGATTCCTTTGTGTCTAGCTGCCATGGGAACACACGACTGCAGACAGATCTTCAGTACCACCAAGATGTATCATCACTTATGGAGGATACCAATGGGAACCAAGAGGCAAATAACAGCTTTAATCCTTGGGGATTGCACTGTCACAAACAGCATCTAAATCGCATGTCTTCCAAGTATAAGGAGAATAAACCTCATCGTATCTTTTTTTCTGAATTAGCTGAACATTACAGTACACATTTATAATGGATAATTTGTACTTTTTAAAGGCTGCTGCTGTTACAAGTATAAACACAAAAGACACAGTTTATCAAAAGTTTAACTGTAATATGTTAATGACAAAAATGACACCTTAAGTCTAAATTAAGTTTAAACAAGTATTTCAGGGGGGACCAAGATTGCAGCAATGTACACACTAAACTTGATGAAGCTTAGTCTCACTATTTTGATCTGGATTTGTCTACAATAGGAAAAATGCAGATTTTAATTTATTTAGCATTTAACAATTATCAGAAAGGCAGCTATGTATCTCCAGTATAATAAGAATTAACAGTGTTAATCTTGTTTATACATCTTATTTCTAGATATTCCTATAACAAAAGTGTTGCCATAACCTATTTAGTAAACATTTGCAGGAAACCAAATTTGCATCTCATATATTTTTGAGTTTCACTGTTTGTATTTGATATGCAACAACTCAGAGTTTTGGATTCTTATAATCCAGATTCCACAATATTTTAAATATTGTATTTCCACTAGAAAGTTATACAGAGACACACACAAAATTTGAATTTGTGCTGAAAGTATTTTCAGGTATAATTTTAAAAAAAGACTATGCACTTAGAAATTGTATTCAATGAACCATGATACTCACATTCTAGTAGTATCTGGAAGCTCAACCTTGTAATTAAAACTATCCTTCAATGTACATACATTGATTGTTGACCTCTCTAAGAAGAAATATTCTATTGACCTTGGCCAGGGATGGAAAATGATGGACAGATAGCTCTGAGACCCATTTCTCATGATAAATGTGCTGAAATTGAAACAAAAAGTTAAGCATAGAAACCAATGGAAAACTGCAAAGTACACCTAAGTAAAATACTGATTTCTTTAACTAGTACATCCAGAATTTCTGTTGCTAGAAAATGTTGTATCCAAATATAAATACCCATGCATTCTGGATTTAAAAATGGGAACCAGGCAGCATGGTGATGATGCATCAGAGGAGAAGAAAGCACGTCAAATAAAGAAATGTGAACAAAGTACATCAGCCTCCCTTGGAGTCCGTATTTGTGGCATGCAGGTAAGCAGATATCTGTTTTGAAAATTACACGTGTTACCATGAAAGAGTACCATAAATTTTTAATTGTAAATAAAAGGGGGGGGTGTAAATAAAATTCAAATATGATTTTCCATCCAAGCATCTCTGTGTTAGCCTAGGTCTGTGCTTAGAAAGACAGGATATATCTGAAATGCTTGTTAATCGATAATACTTACAGTTTTCCAAAATTAATTTGCAAAAATTATGTATGCACTTCTGAAATCCTTTGGGAAAAAGACTGGATGTTGAAAATCACTGAAAACCCCACCACAGTGCAGCTATTACTAATTAAATAGAAGTCACAACAAAATGTCATATCTAAGATAAGGGTCCACTATTCAGATGAAGAATGCCCATTTATTTAAATGTACCAGAATTACCCTTACACCCTGAAGAAAGCTAAACAACAGCTTCTTTGCCACTAAAAATAAGGATAATTCACATAAAGCAAATATATTAGTGCTGCAGATTTTATTTTAGGGTTTGTTCCTCCTACTAACTACTTTAATATAGACAGACACTTTAGTAGATGATCTAAGTAAAAGACAACCATCTACTAAATTATTTCTTCCTTAGTGGGAGAATACAAAGCTGTCCTTGGCTTTGAATAATTACAGCCATGTAATCATCAAAACAGTCATTTCTGTTATGTGGCAACTGAAAAAAAATTTCAGAACAGAATTGCCTGAGTGTAAATCTATTTTGCCATCAAACACTATTAAATTAAATCATTTGACATATACATTTTTAAAAAGAAGATATAGTAGCTATGAATGTTGCTGGGTAACATGGAAACCAGTAACTAGCTTAGCCCAAGTACGTCATTGGTTTACTGAAAGAATGCACTAAAGCGACTTTGAAAAGAAAGATACTGTACAAATATAATAAATAGTGTTTAAATGAATGCAAAACCTTGATCCCAGCTTGTACTTTCTCAACACTTCAATTCCCTATAAGCAGGACATTATAGTTCTGCCTTGCGGTGCTGAGGATAAATATAGTAAGCTTCTAACGCACACATTCAAAATGTAGTTTTCAGGAGTACATAAAGTCACTTAACAAATTACAATCTCCAAAACAGATGGCTAAAATTGATTGTTATTTTTTAATTCAAGGTTTACCAGGCCAATACCATCCAGTATATTTGCAAGGATAAGTACTACGGACGAAAACTTTCACCAGACGGCTTCAAGCAAGCCCTTTGCCAGTTCCTTCACAATGGGAATCATTTTAGAACAGACCTTGTGGAACCAATTTTGTTTCAGCTGAATACTCTGCTGTCTGTCATCAAAAACCAACTTTCTTACCGGTTCTTCTCTAGCTCACTACTCATAAACTATGAAGGACTGGAGAAAACAATGCCTTCAGACAATGACCCTCAGGGACATTATCAAAACATAATCTGCTCTGCTTCACATGGAAGTAGCCATCCTAAAGTTGATGTTCGCATGATAGATTTTGCTCACACAACTAGCAAAGACTCAAGGTATGAGGGACCAGATAACGGTTATATTTTTGGTCTAGAAAACTTAATTAAAATTTTCCAGAGTATATCGATGGGAGAATGACAATTACTGAATTAAATAAAGACTCATGATTTGAAATAGCAGAATCTGTACATTAGGCTATAACAGTAGGAAGCCGTCCAGCTACTACAGCAATAAAAATGGCAGTTTGCTAAGGAAAGCTCAAATGATACTATATGCCACTAAGGATTGAGCAGAAGTTCTCATAATTGTGAACCATTGGACGATTTTCTTTTCTAATTTTACTGTTGCCTATTCATGTCATTTGCAAAGAAGAATGCTTGAAAAGAACTTGAAGAGTTAGGAACTTTTTTTAATGAAGAGCCATTCAGATTTGCAGTGTGAGCAAGGACCAAGCAACTATGAATCTCATAAAAAGAGCTATGAAGATAGGCTAGCAGGTCCTTAAAACAATTCAACTTAATTCATCCAATTTGGTGGGTTAAGAACGACAATCACTCTTGAACAAGCTTAGCTACTAAACAGCAGTACTTAAAAAAGTTTAAATTAACTCCTTGTTTCTTTGTATTCCATGCTAGTGTCTGTGCCAAAGTATTTTCCAAAGGATAAGCACAATCAGAGCCACAATCAAAAGCAGAGGGTACCAGATATTCTCAGAGAAACAATGTAAGATATGGATCAGTGGTGATTAACCTTTTTTGGCTCCTGTGCCAAAAATTGCGTGTGCGTTTACGTGAGAACGCTTGCATGCCAGCACCCAGAAGGCAATGGGTGCTGGCCTCCCCACGCCCCCTGCTCACGCACACGTGACCCCCTGAGTGCTGCGCATCTCTGCACACATGTGCGTGACCCCCCGCATTCCATGTGTCTGCGCATGCACACGTGATATCCCACACACCACATTTCTGCACATGCGTGAGACCCCCATGTGCGCTGCGCATCTCTGCACATGTGCGTGTGTCTCCCACGCCCCCCACGTATGCGTGCCAGATACCCAACAATTAGCTGTCAAGCGGCGGCGTGTGCGTGCATGCGCAGTGGGGCTCTTCCGGGAGACCTCTCGTGTGCTGGCAGAAGTGGCTCTGCGTGCCACTTCTGGCACACATGCCATAGGTTCGCCATCATGGATATAGATAGACAAATAAGAAGAGACTTGTTACATAAAGGGCGCAAACTCTGGAAAAAGCCGTTATGAAGGGATTCATACCTTGATACTTCAGGTCAGAGTTACACTGCAGAGGAGTTAAGACAGTCTTGAAACATGGGTGTATCAATATCATTATGGGCCCAATAACCTTCTAGACATTTTATATCAACATTTCTGTGCATGTATGTATTTTTCTTGCATTTGGATAACCATCACAACAAACTTCACAAAATGTTTACAGGAGTTTGGAGTATATTGCTGGTAAATAAAGAACACTGTTCCCATGTCATATGGAAAACCCGTTGAGTGTTGTAAATACAAAATATAGATTTAGAAATATACAGAGGCAAGATGGAATATGAAACTAAATAAATTGTTTGGGCCTTACAAGATATTGACTGTGTCTATATTTCCTTATGCTATTTCTCACAGATCTGTCAATATTTACATAATTGCTGTAAAATTATGTTTTCCTAGTCTAAATACCAGACCTCTGGGGAAATCTTTTTGCTATCTAGATGTTTCTTTAATGTGGCTTGTGAGTAACCCACAAATTGTGTGGCAGGCAGATTAAATCATTAAGCCAAGCACATACTCCACTTAGCCTGCTGCCCAGCTTCAAGAAATTGCTAGAAATTATTCACAATGTTGAAAACTATTAAACTGACATCGCAAAATCCAAAGCAATTCCACATAGACAGTCATAGGCTCTGGGTGCAAAAGGATTTGTCTTCATTTGAGCTGCTTGTCAAACTCAAACTCTCGTTGTGTCAAATATTTGACATTAAGAAAGCAATTTATGCATATGTTCATTTTCTGCAACAATCTAGATTATAACTGTTAAAACTGCTAATGCAGACTATAAAATATTGAGCTAGTTCTTCTGAATTAAGCATATTGATATATATTTGATGGAACATCCTTCAACATTTAAGTGAATGTACAAATAAAAGTTGCAATTGTATCCTACTTCCGGGGAGGATACCATATAAAATTCAATGGGATTTATTACAGCACAGAATTGTAGATAACTGTGCTATAAAAACATCAAGGCTGTAAAAGCTAAACTTAGAGTAACTCTTAGTTACTCTAAGAAATTTTAGGGAAATGGCATTAAACTCCTCTTTTTGTCTGAGTAAATATGCATAGAATAGAACAACCCAGATACACCCTAAATCTCCTGGGTCAATTTAATGAGTATTATAACCAGATAAATGCTTAAATTAATAAGCGTTGAATAAAAATATTGCAGTTCTAAAATTACATCCAGCAAACCTTTCTTTCCTCTTAAATTGGGTCTTTCAGAGTTACTGGTCAAGTCTGAGCATTGGGGAATTATACTAGAGAACATAGTGGCCTGAAATTATGATGTGTCTTATGAAAAAGCATCTGCCTAACTATATATCAAGCATCTGCCAGCGAAGTCACCATAAATAGAATGACATAAATGGTGTTATGCATCGGCCTCCTGCTCACAGCAATGAGATGTTTCAAGGGTGCCCATACCTATGAAAGATTCTGTTCCTTTGTAAATACATCACTGGGAGCAAGCAGAAATGGTACATCATTAACACTTCAACAAATTCTGAGTTTTCTTCAGATTTCTCACAATTCTTCAATTTTGCTCATTTTTAGCACAGATCCACACATACCTCTGTCCTTTCCCCAGCTTAGCCCACTCTGCCCCATTAAAGATGAGACATCCATTGAAGCAACTTGGCAGCAGAACATTTTTTTTTGTTTTGCTCCCCAGGAAAATAAATTTGCACATATTTTAAGGAGAAAGTTAGCCCTCCATTCACCAACCTTGAATGGCAGGGCCATGCTTTAGTTAATCCATTTGAAACCAACTATTGAATTTATATTGCTTCAATTGGTTTGTTACAGAGTCAGTCAGATGTTTAGATTGGATTAGCCATTTTTATTCACCTACCGAGTCCTTCTCAAGATTTAGCCTAGGCAGAAGTTGCTGTTTGATTATTTTAAAGGTATTATCCCCATTTACTATTCCAAGTAAATGTAAACCTTTTGCAACTGACTGGTGGTGATTTTGTCAATGCCAATAGTGTTCAAGTGGGGTTACCGGTGTTTTGGGATTGCACCCAAGGCACCTTTTGCTATTGGTACTGTTATTATGGTTGTTCCCACAGTCAGACAGATGTTTAGGCTGCATATTCCCCAACAAATCAAGAACAGCAGTCTCAACATATCAATAAAGCAGTGGTATCCACCCCATATAAGGACTAAGTTTTCCAGGAAAGAAAAAAGAAATGGGAGTGTATCTATGAAGAATGGGATTAGCTCTACCACAATAGTACATTAAGTTTGCTACCTTCTCTTGGCTGCCAAAATCATGTTTACCTTGCTTGAAAAATATTAGAATAAAGTTTCCATCGCAGAACTGTTCTCTGTGTGTGTGTGTCTCTGTGTATCTATCTATCTATCATCTATCTATCTATCTATCTATCTATCTATCTATCTATCTATCTATCT